TCCAGTTACCTGCATAATTTATCAATGCATGATGGAAACTGGCATACTGACAACCTAATTGGCAGCCCACATAAATCTGTTATGAATTAGAACTCCAAACATATATAATAAGACCTCTATATAACAACCGCAAGCTCTCTTTGGAACTCTTTATGTTGCATTTTACCACTCTGTAACAGTAACAACCATAATTACAGCGATACTCTTTGTGAAATTACCCCTCTATAAAAGGCCTTAGTCAAATATCTATGTACTTACTCCTTTGTCCCAATATATTTGATGCAATTTTTGTTTAAGTATGTTCCAAAAAGGAGTGATGATTTATATATTTAGAATCCATTTAACTTTGAACTTTTTAATTTACCCCTAATTAGATGATTTAGTTCATAGGTTTTGAAAGTCGGTCTTTCTTAAACTCCATGCCCAAAGAAAGTGCATCCCATAAAGTAGGATATACGAAGTATTATTTTATAATAATAACAACACAGTCTATTTTTTTTGGGAGACATAACGTAAATAAATTTTGTAAGTTTCAATGAGGAATTTGGAACGTCAAAAGCTCTTGCAAACTTGAAACATGAGATTCAATCAAACCTGGAAGCATTTAATTTTCAGATAGTTTTAGATTATGTGCGTTTTCTAGTCATTTTACGCAGAATTAGTTATGAATTTATTAATATTTTAGTAGTCTCTTAAATTTTTCATTAATGACATATAAATATCTTTTTAAATTTTAATCTAAAATTAATTTTTTCTTATAACATAAAAAATTGAAAAAGTGATGCTTCTTTTGATAATTTGTAAGATTGTTTCTTCAGCATGAAGGGCATGCTGGCCACCTCGAAAAGTTTGTAGCTATTACAAGTCTGCTATCAGGGTCCACCATTTGATCTATATATATTAATTATTATTCACAATTGTTTACCCCAAAAACGTAGAGATACGATGCAATTCCTTTTGACTTCCTGAATGGAACTGGACCTATCTACAGAATATCTACCATGTCTTTCTAACCACACTGACAACCATATCCATGCTGAGACTAATCTCCAAAATCTCTTCTGACTCTTACTTCCATCCCTCCTGATCCAACAACCCAAGAGATCTGAGGTGAGCTCTGGCATGATCCAACTACATCCTGTAATGTTGAGGAATAGGTTTCACAATTGGGTAGTGAAGTTGCTATGTAAGAAGAGGTGCTTGTTTGTCTTCCCTGTAGTGTTAGACAAAAACCATCGAGGAACTAATTGTCTCTCTTTCTTCTTCTGCAAGACTTCTTGAGTTAAACAGGCTCTCTTAATCACTAGCCAAGTGAAACATTTATCTTGGTAGGGATGATACTTTTCCAGAAATAATTCCACTGGTAAGAAGTTCCCCCTCTAGCCAACTGCATACCTCTCTTATATGCACTGCTTACTGAGAAGTTTCGATCTTTTTTGTGCTTCCACAAGACCCTATCTGCATTTGTTGTGGCAATGTCATTTCCTTCTAACTTCTCCAGTACCGAGAACCCAATCATTTAGCATTCTTCTAAAGGAGATGTCTCAATCCTGAACTGACCAACAATCTCTTACTCTACTCTCAGTATCTCTACAGATTTGGAAAATGTTTTAAATATTTCCTGTCTATAACAACCAAATTAGATCCAAAGGCCAATTAATAGGTGTGTAATAGGCAAAAAAAGGTTCAAACAAATGAGGTTGTCATAACTTATAAAGAGGTTTGGCTGTAATAGTGTGCATGGACACATGTACAAGCACAGCCTTATATGGAGGATACACAATTTATCCACCTTTACCGAAAGTAAAGTGACAAAAGGTTTCAGATTCTGGGGCAAATGTATTCTTTTTTTAATCTGCAAACCTATCAACTTGTCGAGGAACTTCATTTTCCTCATAGCCCTTTTGATGGTTTGGTCCTTGTCTAATTGGGGCCTCTAAGGGCTTGAACTCATCGATTGCTGAGGATGCCTCCCTTGGTTGGATGGTTTTTAGATACATGAGAAGAGAAAGATGTGATAGGCAGGGAACTATTCTAAGTCAGAGAACTCATCTTTACTGTTATCAGACAGTTTTCTCAAACCATATTTTCCTATTTATGTTAGTCATAGTGAAATTTGACTAGATATTATGATAACTAAAAATATTCTAGGGCCACCGGGGCACAGTTCGGAACTTTTTGGATAATCTAAATTGGTGCTGAAAAATAACCAACTTGTTAACTTAAATTCTGCTAGGATTTTGTTTGTGGTGGCAGTGTTTGAAAGTCCCTAATCTACGTGCATTGTCGCCAATGCATTGAGGTCTGTTCAGTGCAGTGTTATCAAAGGCGAAAAGTGCAAAAAAGCTCTAAGGTATGTGAGGGCTTTAAGCGCAAAGCGTAAATAAAGCGTGGGCTTTAATGAAAAAAGGCACAAAGGGAGAAAAGAATACAAATATATATGTTTAGTCATAGACTAATAATTATAAACATGGATGACAAAAAATGTCCAAAGAAATTGATGATAAAGTATATCAATTATTTAGTGTCACTTCTTCATATGAGGCTCTGGTAAGGCAAACACCCTTAGAACCTTGATGACGACACTGAAGCGCACATAAAGCGAGGTGAAGCGCTCAACACGTTTTGAGTCTTGCTTCAGGGTTTAAGCGCGCCTTTGATAACACTGGTTCAGTGGACCTTGTTTAGACCTAAATTGGGCATCTGTAGGGGGCCACTTACTATTAATTGGGAACTCTGGAGAAGTCGTGAAAATCATAAGGATATATGACGCACCAATGAAAAAGCAGGGTGGGAAAGACAAGATTATGTCTTTGCTTTTATCTTTTGCTGACTCTCAGTTTAAAAGCCTATGTTTTCACTAGCTTCCTAACCAACCTTGTAAAGGCATAAGATATGATTCTGGAGTTGAAACAGTGGAACCTACTGTTAATGACAAGTTACGGTTATTCATCAGAAGAAAATTTTCAATAGAATTATTTTCAATATGCTTAAAAAATAGTAGTGTTGTTTAAACTACTGCAACATTCTTCTTTCCATGCATTGGAAGCTCTTCAGCAAGGAACCATTGATTAGGTCATTAGCTACTCATATTTGTTCAGAATGTTGAACACCATTCAAGTCGTTGCTTATTTGATAGATAAGTGCTTTAATATCACACCTCATTTTGGTGACAGGGTTGCTGTGTAAATGCTCCAATGATGACGGTGGCTGACTATTCCAATGGATCTGAAGGATATGCTTACAATTATTATGTGAGTTAATACGTAAATCCTGTTTTGATCACTTGTTCAATCTTATAGTAATAAGTTTAAGTATTTGGAGCTTAATTGGTCTTCCCTTCCTTTCTGCAGGAGGATCTCACTCCAAAGAAAGCTGTAGAGATTGTTGAGGCATTCAGGAAAGGTGAAAAACCACCGGTAAGACGACTATAAGTTGCATAGACTAATTTTATCATGCATAATGACATCAATGCTTTGTTGATTGTCATGCTTTTTTATGTTTCAGCGCGGCACTCAGAATCCAGGTCGTATCAATTGTGGACCAGAAGGAGGAAATACTACATTATTAGGTGAGCCTAAGGCTCCTCCTTGTCGGGATCTAGATGCTGCTGAATAAATTTCTTGTTGTTCAGTTTTTTAATAATGCAAAACAATGGATGGAGAGACGCATCCGATATCATATGCAGTAACTTACCTACTGCATTGATGATATTTAAAGATTGTTTTCTGTCTGTCAGTATAATTACAGGTAAAACTGATTCTTGTTTGTTTTATCGGTTTAACTCTTACCGGATCCAGTGAAAGTCCTTTGTTTTGGGTCAGGATGTAATGTTTTGCCTAGAATTGATTTAGTACAGAATGGTTAGTTTACAATTAGGAAGTTTTTGATTTAAGAAGCCAATAGCTTTTCCAATCATTACACTCTAATACTCAAGTGTACTGGGAGGGAGAAATGGCATTGTTGTTTGGCGTTTTGGATGTGAAAAGAGATTTTCTACTGAATAAATAAACAACTGGCATTCAAAGTTTCTTGTGATTACTTTTCTTGTTTCATAGTGACACTGGAAAATTGGAGTCGAAGTTGCTATTTTGAGTTTTTAATTAGCTCATATATTTTAATGAGCCATCAACGTTTCAATCCCCTTCCAAGTCGTTGATTGTTGAAATTTGAGTCTAGTGATTGAGAGTCCAAGTCAAATTACTATCATCAGATAGGACCAACCCAAAAATATTATCCAAGTTATTATTATGATAACGCAAGAAAATACAATATAGTATAATAATTTATATTAAGCAAAATGGGAAACAGCTTTCCGTCAGAGTTGCCTTTTTCATTCTCTCTCCAATTATGCAACCCAATAATTACTCAGGAGAAAATTTAGAGAATTAAGTCAAACCACTATCACAACCCAACCACACACGCTTTCAAAAAAAAATACAAAAACCAAAAGAAAGACTTAAAAGTTTTTTAGACTTGGATTGATTGGTTCCGGATAAGTTATTCCAAAGTTTAATTAACTAAGTTACAAATAGTGAGATCAGTAATTTCAAAATTACTTAATACCTTTAATCAAACGTAGAATAAAATAATTCTATATTTTATCTTTAAAATTATTATACCTTACGTAAAACGATTTTGAAAATCTTATGTTATTTATTAGAATTTATTTTGGAACAACTCAAATACTTAGCTACTTCCTTCAACAAATGAAAAAAAAATTCTTGTTAAATTTTGATCTCTTACAAAGCTACTATTGTTACCACTAGCACTGAAATGGATTATTAGTTAATGTACCAGTCTTAAAGGGCCCCAATTTCCACTAGCAAAACATAGAGACCCCACCCATAAGTGCTTCTACATCCACCACTATATTATCCTAGTCCCACCATTCATTTTCTTCCCTTTCACACTTAACTTGAAGAAAAGTTTGACAATTTCTCTTTACTACTAAGAATATATCTAACAACGATAACATACTTTGTTAGACTCAGATCAAGTATCGAAGAACAAAACTACTCAAATATATAAATGATAGAAAATGGTTTACTTTATACATAAATATTTTTAAAAAAGAACCCTGTTTTTTCAACAAAAAGCTAAATATTACTTGAATAGATAAAAGTAGGAACCATCCACTGCAAGAAAATTCTTTAAGGTCATTAGCATGTTATGTCACCTTTTTCTATAAGGGTGTTCATCTATGAAGGAGGATTTGTTTCTGGCTTAACAAGACTTGATGTATCTGGTGGCTGAGAGTGATAAATTGCTGATGCAAGAGAAATAGGCATTATACATAGTGCTTTAGACTGAAGAAATTGCATTGCAGCACCAACATTTTCTTCCATGAGTTTAGCCACTTGCCTTTCTGTGCCATCACTTGACCACTTTTCCCAAGCTGGTTGGTTATTATTTCCACCTTCACTGCTCTCTTCCTAAATAAGACAAAGCCACAAGTATTAAGAAATTAATAAGGTGGACAAATCTTCCAGAAAAGAAGTCTAACAAGCTTATTATAATTAAAAAAAAGTACCTCTACTGATGATATTGGAATGTCTGTAACAAGTGGTGCTACTGCACCAGCTCCTCCTAACCTACTCATGCTCAACACCTGTAGTGTCAAATATAATTTTTAACTTAGAAAAGTACCCAAAATGGTTCAATAATGCAAGGAAAAAAGTATTGATTCAAAAGCAGGAGAAAATCTAGTGCTATACCCTCAAAAGAGGAAAGGTAACTTTTCCATGATGTGAGTGGGAGATCCTTTATGGCATTTCTCATTTACACTATTAAATTCTTTTTCATGTTCAAATTATTTGAGCGGTTTCCATCCAGCAAAACTTCCTTTGAACACGAATATCCGTGGGGTGGGTGGGTGGGTGGGGACTGTTTACTGATCAGTTGATATAGACATCGAATTCAACTAACCATTAAGGAATATGCTGCGCAGAAAATGACATCCGAACATTTGTTGAATGAAATGAAAAGTCATTGAAAAGAGCAATGCAAAAGCAAAGTGTGAGAATATTCCGTGGAGAGTACATTTTAAAAGAATTTTATGCAGAAAATCCAATCATGTCAAGATGCTAGTTTCAGCACCTTGGAAGTATTACGTTCATGACACATTTTTTTTTTAAAAAACTAATAAGTAGAAGTTACATGAAGCTCCGAGTATTATCAGTAGTACCAGAATGCATTTCTAAAGAACCTTCACAACCAAAATCAACATCGATAGGTTCAAAATGATTTAGAGCGACCCGTGATTGTAACTTTTGAAAAGATTGTATGTCAACTCACCTTCACTTGCAGCCGTAGGAATTTGATATAATCTACAATTTCATCAAGCATTACAGCTCTATCAGTCTGCAACACCAACGGACAAAGGAAACAGTTGAATACTGATATGACAAACGTAACAGAATGATAAAAGCACAGTAACTACAACATGCCAAACATTGTAAATGCGTTGATTTATTGCACCAGAAGAATTAGAAATGGGTGGCTGAACATTTGCATTAAACCTATACAAGCGTATAATTTCTCAAAACCTTCTAAAGATCACTTGAGATAAAACATACATAAACCCGTTTTACTTTGTCCCACAATCTCTGATGGGGATGGGGAAGTTATAGAATAATCAGAGAAAATGATGCAGACACGTTTTTACCTATTCATAGATTTTGGTCTACTTATAAAATAAAAGATCTAACTTCTTTTCTGTGACATTTGTTGGCAATTTCTAAGCACAAGACACCTTGTTTAAGCATGCAAAAACTAATTCTCGAAATAATTTTCATAACGACTATCATTTCTATCATCTTCTGGTTTTGCTTCTGTGTGAATCCAACCTCCCTCAATTATCAAAAGTAGACCTAGTGAACTAAACCAATTTGAAGATCTGCTTCAGTTAACGTATCGAACTATACTGAAATAAATTCTCTTTACCCAGTATATGTACAACTATCTTCTAATAGTGACTATCAAACATGAAATAAGGACCACAATATACGTCATGCAGTATCCTAATAATATCATGCGTATCAGCTACTCTGTACTAAACTTTATGGAAGAAAAATAGGGAAGACAAAGTTACCTAATGAATCAACTTTGACTTTTTTACATTCTTCCGGGAAGACCAAAAAACACGGGACAAAAATTGAAAACTGTACACATGGGGAAGTCATATCCATGTGATGAGACCCTACTATTTCTGAAAGAAGTCTCTTATAGTTCTTCATTATGAAGTCCTTATTGCTTCTCTGTCAATAAAATAGCATCATAACTTGAACAGACAAAGAAAGTTGGAGGAGGTAGTGATTTTAGTTTTTTCATAAATTCTGCAAATATTGCTCCATCAAATTCCTGAGTTCTTTGGGTACATAAGCACAAGCCCACAAAAGAAAACTGTGAGAAGAAAGGGGTCTCAATGTTTAATCCTCTTCTTTTTGATCTTTTCAAAATGATGCTCGCAGTAAGTGAAACATAGTTCAGTATATAGAAGAAAGAAAACTAACCTTATTGACACTGGGAACCAACTCTTGCAATGCTCTAATTCTTTCTGCTATCCTCTCTCTACGTAACTGCAGGAAAAGAATAAAATCAGTTAGAATGGTAAAGTAGCGGCAACTGAATAGTAGGACCTAAGCCTTTATACATAGTATTCAACCTTGAACTGATGCTCGGAAATAGGATGTTATTCTTCCTAACACAGAACTGAATTCTAAAATAACACATTATTTGCAGCTTAGGGTCATCGGGCTTGGTAATTTATCAGTGCATTATCAGAACATCTTATGCTCGTAGAAACTATGTATAACCCGAAACAATATGAACTAGTTAGATGACCTCTTGTGAAAAGATTAATGTTTCACTCTGAGGAACTCGTTCATTTACCCTGAACAGTTGCAATCAAATAAAGGAAGGGATATTATTTTCTTCTGTCCAAACGCTAGAAGCAACAGAAAAATATGCCGCTTGTTAGACAATCTAAATAACTTTAGAATACTCTTCGCTGCAAAAAAAAAAATACCCTCTCCGCTATGCTATGTGGATCAGTAGCTTGTCCTCGCCTAGCTCTCACCCTTGGACGTATTGCAGGGGGATGCGGCATTGAAGGCATCGGTTGTCCATGAAAACCCTGTAAAGATAGAACCTTGTCATTGCTTTTGATTGTATCTCAAGGAAGCAATTGGTAAAATCACTTAATAAATGGCCAGATTTATTCATATTCAGATCTCGGACCATGGTTTTGCTTACATCACCTTGAATAGAAAAAAGTAATGTTACATGTCAAGCCCCTTTTTCTAGGCAAGTGTGCAATTCCAATTTTCTAAAGCCAGCAACAGTAGTCTTAAAATCAACAGGCTATATGATCTCTAGCTTGAATACACAAATATAAGCCTTATTTTTAAAAAACCTCATTCTTAACTCCAAATTATACTGGAGTAAAGGCAACCAGTCCAGAAAAGGAAAAGAAAGTCAGAATTGAATTTCCCATACACCACCACCACCAAGAACATAGTATAGTCCAACCATTGGGGTATGAGGAGTGTCGAGTTCACGCAGACTTTATCCTACCTTGCCAGGTAGATAGAGAGGTTGTTTCCAATAGACTCTCTGTTTAGGGAAAGCAAAAACACAACTTCCCATATACCAAGCACATACACAAATCCTAGAAAGAAACAAATTCAGAAAAAACAAACAACTTTTTTAGTGAAAAACTTCTTCGGTAACACTACACCAATTTGCACAGAAAAAGGAGCAAACTTTCTAAGTAAAGAAGCAGAACATCACAGTATAAGTCATTATATGACAACCAACAAGAAATCAAGAAACTGAATAACCAAGAAAAGGTATAAGCAATAATTACAGGTTTGACAGAAGAAGAAGCTCTGCTATCAACAACATCATCTCTAAACCTCCTTCCAGGTGCTGAAACATCATCCATCTTCAAGAACCCACCTTTCCCTTGTTCTAAACTCAACCCTAAAGGAAAAGAACCACCCCCACCATGACCATGGAACCCCCCACCACCTAAACCAACCCCAAGACCCACTCCAGTAAACTGACTTGACCCATCACCAGAGTTAAGCTGGAGCATCATCGCCGGCGGTATAGCTCCGGCATCATTTCCCGCCAAATTAGGTTCTGCTCCATTGTAAGCAGGAAATCCCAAGATTTGGTCAAAGAAATCATCAGAAGGTCCCTCAGAAGGGTTGTTAGCCATAGCAGAAACTATAAAGATTCAATCTTTCTTGGATCGGAGCTGTTTTCGACCACCTTAATTCCTCAGAAAAGCATTCAATTGAACAAATACTAGTTAAAAAAGTGTTCTTTACAACGGAATTGATAAGAGGGTGTACAAATTAGTACTCTAACAAGTACTTGTTACATATATATATATATATATAGGCAAAAAATGGAAATGGAAGTGTGTGTTTTGGGTTGTTTGTGTGTGTGTTTTGCTACTTTCTAAAGAGCAGTGAGAGCCATGAAGAAAATAAAGGAAAGGGAGTCACCTAAAGCTTTGCTTAAATATATTGTTTGCTTCAATGGTGTCACTAAAAGCAATTGCTTAAATAAATATTTATTTGAGAGAAGTATTTTGAGTTTTTTTATAGTTTGGAATAAATTATTATTTTTATTCTTGAACTATTATTAGCTTTAAAAATTATTTTTTATTTAATTAATTAAATTTATTACATTTCGATCTACCATCTTACAACATTAGAATTACAAATTTGTATGAGACTTTTAATGAAAAATTGAGAGAAATTTTAAAATTATTATTAAATTAGACAAAAATTCATATTTAAATTTAATTAATCAAGTGAAAACATATTTTTAAGACCATCAATAATTTAAAAATGAAAAATTTTGAGAAAAAGTATCCTTTTTTCTTTGTTAAAAAAGACTAGCTTAAATATACTCTCTAGTGTTTCATGTTTTGTATATTTATATAATATATTGGAAAGAAAGACATTCAAGTGGGACTAAAAAGGTAATAAAAATTAATACGTCTATGACTTTTGTATAAAGATGATATGAATAAACAAGGAAATTATTTAAACTCTTTTTTTTTTTTAATTTGTGGATTAGATTATCTCAACATTATATTTTTAAAACTATATATTTGGATTAATTTATTCCCGCTCAGATTTAAGAGATAGATGATGCGATAAGATGATATATCTATGATTAAGTTTGAGACAAAAATTTAAGTGGTTTAGTTAACAATATAAATTTATCTATTACCGTTAATCAAAGATGCTATAAATTTTAGTCAACTTTCACATATAGCAAACATAAAATTCATATTTGTATGCTATAGCAAAGTTTGCATAATTGCACTCCATAACAAACATATAAATATATAATTCGCTATACATATACAATTGAAGCAAATTGTATAAAATAGAAGTGTATAAAACGAGAAAGAGAAAGAGACTTGGACAGAGAATTGTATAAAACGAAGTGTATAAAATGAATTGTATATTATAAGTGTATAGAACGATTATATACAATTAGAATTGTATAAAATGAGAAAGAGACTTGGACAGAAAATATATAATTGAATCTAATTGTATAAACGAGAAAGAAAGAAATTATATACAATTTGAATTTGTATAAAATGAGAAAGAGAGAAAGGCAAAAGAAACTGGGCAGGAAAGTATTTTATTATATAATTATAAGTGTATATGACGAAAATATATGTACTTCCATGTGTATATACAATTTTCTCTCGCTTTATACAAACAAAAACACAATTTATACATTTCGTTTCTATTTGTATAAGCGAGAGAGGCGAGCGAGATCAGGGAGAGTGGCGAGCGAGATCTGGGAGAGGGGAGAGAGGGGAACAAAATTATATGTATTTATACAACTTTCTCTCTCTTTATACAAATAGAAACAAATTTTATACACTTATGTTTGTATAAAAGTGAGAGGAAGCGAGCGAGAGAGGAGAGTGGCGAGCGAGAGTTTGAGGGAGAGAGGTGACTGACAAACAATTTGCTACGAGACACAATTAAATCAAAGGGTGATTATAGCAATTAATTTAATTTATTAATTTACCATTAGATACAATTTTCCCTAAATTTTATCTCACGCTTAAAGTTTACTCCTATATATCAATAATATTTTTTATACTTCAGAAGCATTTTCGAAATCTTTGATCATTAATAAATCATTGCTTTATTATTAATAAAAATATTTTTTCAATAAACTAATCAAACATAAATTATTTAGCAAAACATATTTATCAAATAAATAAATTTTAAATCTTAATCAAACAAGCTAAAAATTTGTTAGTACAATTTTGAGTTATTTTATTAAAAATAAAATTAGAAGCAAACAAGTAGTATGGCCAAAAATTACATTCATGCCAATTTGCACACTAGATAAATTTGAGAAAGTGGTTATAAAGTTGGACATAAACTAATAATTTGATGGAATTTGACCTTACTTGTTTGTCCTAAGCACTTCCACTTTAACTAAACCTCTACTTTATTATCTAATCTAATAGAGATTAGTGTTATAAACTAACTCATTAAAATATGCCAAACACTACCTAACTCAAATTATTAAAAGTTGATTAACTCCTTACCAAATCACATGGGAGTTACTATAATCACTCATAACTAAGTAAAACATAATTATAATAGAGAGTTTGTTAATAGATAAAAGCTGATATAACAAGATGGATGAATTAGGTAAATACCTATTTTTAACACCTCCTATCAAATATTAACCACTATTTCAAAAGTTCTAAATAATCATTTAACCATATTCTTTTGACACGAATAAAAATGGATCAAAATATCCCCAACGAAATCAAGAAATGATTCATAGGTTCAGGTCGTTATAAGTTTTTTTTTTTTTTTTTAATGTCAATAGGAATATTTTTGCATTGAAATATAATTCATTCCGCTATTTAAATTCAAATAATGGCTAAAAACTCATAGCAAGTCTAAAGTGACTAAAAGATACATCTATAGAAAGAACAAAAAACCAAAAATGCATTTCCTGGAGGAAAATATGTAAGGTTTTTGCATAATTTTCATGTTTATATATGTAAACTTGCATAGTCAAATTATTATGTATTATTAAGTTATTGAGCTAATTGAAACAAGCTATCATTTTTTATATAAATGCAAATTAATAAAATGTAGTTAATATTTAGCATTATATATAGACTCAACCTGTATTATACTGTAAACAAAACATTTTAGGCATCTAGTATCTAGTACCAAAGAATCTAGTTTTGCTAAAAATATATACAACACAAATGCTTTTGTTGTAAATTAATCTCTTTCTAATCAAAACATTTATGTCATTAGCACAAATGAATAATTCCTTATTAAAAGAATATGTGCTTCCTGGATTGTATAAAAGAACCTTCAATAATGACATTCAACAAACATATTCTGTAAGAAAAAGATATTAACTTCTTTAAATGAGATATTTTATCATTTCTTTACTTTATATTTTGCAACATTTCGACATAGCATTGGACCAAAATACATGTATATAATAATGTATGAATTGTGTTTATACACAAAAAAAATGGGCTAAAACAGGTAACAAACTCAGAATATGGGCTAAAAAACTTACTTGCGATCAAGGTAAAGTATCAGTGATCTCACAAATCCTTTTTAACACCTAAGTATATGTGGTGGCTGCTAGTTTACACAACCATAAAAACTAAAGTTATCATGTAAAATTCTCTGACTACATCTTATAATTGTTGAAGAATAATTACTCCAGTTTTACAGTAAAAGTTAATGAATGATAAAGATACAAGTATTTCCAACTTTTACAACAAAGCTCAAGAACCTGTTTAGATCTTCTTCTGGTTCTCACAACATATTGAACTGGGGTATACTGAGGTACAAATATCCAAACCTCGCGTGCTTTTGAAGTAAAAACATAGAGCTCGCGCTGATTAGATGGACATGATAAGCTGCCATTTGACTATTCTGGTGATGGGATGGACATGATAAGGTGCCATTTGACTATTCTGTTCTATGCCGGTCTTTAGGATTGCTGTACATGGGTAACAACAACATGGGACCGTGTTTCCGTCTCCCATAACACCGCCAATATACCACAAATATTACAGCCATTACAAACACAGGGATTGCCCACCTGCAGCAGTAAACAACATAGGAAAGGAAATATTATAAAACATCCTCAGTCCAGGCCATGTCAGCTCATACTACTCTCAGATCAAGCTACAGAAAATACTTTCACAGTTCGACTATTGAAAAAGCATATGTCCTGATATGCAATACAATCTCAAACTCATTATCAAAGACTATGCTAAAAGAAAGAAACTTTGCTTCAAAAACTTAGTCTGGAGAGGCACGTCTAATGGCTGCTATAAATCTTGTATTGCTTCTACTGATCAGCACAAAAAGAAGAAAAGAGAGCAACCCTCTTGTACTGCTTTAATTACTAATAAATTGTAACCAAATAGCAAAAAAGTTCACAAAGGATACTTGAAAGTAACAGAAATTTAGAATAAAAAGGTATTTCTTACCTGTCCAGATCAAGGATTGGACTATACACGAGCGTTTCCCAAGTAGCTACAATAAAATGCCACATTGGATTATAGTAAAGTGACTCTGCAGACCAAAACATTCTTGTATATGTTTCTAAGAAAATAAAAAGTATCCATGCGCCAATCTCGACCAAAATAAACTTTATGACGAACCGCCCGACCACCACCATGAACAGTGAGAAAGCCACCAACCAATTAAAGAGTCTGTGATTATAGTCCTTGATGAATGAAGACTTTGACTTCTCTAACATCTGCATTATTTGAAGATATACACAATCATTGTAGGCCATATGAAATGGACAACGGGAAAGGAAAAAAAACAGCAATGTAGTCGGAGTAATGCAAAACATCTCAAACAAATTATTAAAATGTATAAACAAGACAATCAGGTAAATCTGGAGACGAAGACTGATACTGATGCTGCTTAATTCAAATGATAATTTATCCTGTGACTCTTGTTTATACATTGGACAGGTAAAGGATAATTTATCATCTGACTCTTGTTTCTACATGGACAGGTAAAGGAATTTCCTATGTTATTGCTAGCATAGTCTTAATAATAAAACTGGCAAATCAGTTTCGTAGAGTTACTCTGCACATAAATTAGTAGAGAGGAAGCAGGAGAGGTTAAACTCCTGTTTCTTAATTTTTGAGACAATGGTAACTTTGTATTCACACCAAAAAGTCATCCACCAAAAAATGATGAATCGGAAACAAACATACCACTCATGGGTATACTTTACAAGTTCCCTTTAAAATCAGCTAAATCTACTATCCCCTACAAGATTCTGTTTACACCAAAAAAAAGAAAAGGCTTGTACATTTCATTCTAATATTCTGTAAGTTAGTCTTTTGTCCCTCAAGACTTCTTAAATTTCTTTCTTTCCAGAGGGTCCACCATATGCAAGCAGGGATAGTTCTCACCAGTGTTCATTTCTTCCTCTGTTCCCAATACCTTTCCAGCTATTTA